ATCATGGTGTGCCACTAAAGATCATTTCCGATCGCGATACTCGCTTCACTTCTCACTTTTGGTCAAGTATGAAATGCGAATTGGGATCTCGAGTTGCTCTCAGTACCGCTTATCATCCTCAGATAAATGGTCAGACAGAGAGAACAATCTAGATAGTAGAAGATGTGCTTCGTGCATGTGTTTTGGAGTTCGGTGGTAACTGGGATAAATACTTACAGCTTGTCAAATTTTCATATAATAACAGTTACCACACTTCAATCAAGATGCCACCATATGAAGCATTATATGGTCGCAAATGTCGTACGTCGTTATGTTGGCGTGACGTAGGACAGAAGATCCTCGGAGGCCCTGAAATGATTCAAGACACCACCAACAAGATTCAAATCGTAAGAGAAAGAATGAAAGCGGACCAGGATCGACAGAAGTCCTATACGAAAAAGGGAGGACGACCTATAGAATTTCAAGTAGGTGATTTCGTGATGCTGAAGGTATCCCCATGTAAAGGCCTTATGCAATTTGGGAAGAAAGGAAAGTTGAGTCCTAGATTTGTTGGTCCTTTTAAAACCATCCAGAGAATCGAAAAGCAAGCTTATCGCTTAGAATTGCCTGAAGATTTGGCGGGTATTCATGATGTGTTTCATGTAAGTTATCTGCGCAAATGCTTGAGCATCTACGATGAGACAGTTCCATTTTCCTTAGTGGAATTGGATAATAAGTTAAGATATGTAGAAGAGTCTGAAGAAATCGTGAATGAAAGAACAACTAAGCTACGCAATAAAGAAGTAGAATTGGTGCTTGTCAAGTGGAAACACCATCGTGGCTCGAACTATACTTGGGAGAATAAGAATGAGATAAAAGCAAAATATCCCCAGTTATTTTAATCGATGTAATTTCGGGGACAAAATCCTCAAAAGGAGGAGGTATTTGTAACATACACATTTTAAAATCGTGTTTTGTAATGAAAAAAATTGTGAAATATTATGTAAAATTGAGTGTTGAGTTCTAACATATGGTTTTTATTAGAAATGAAGTAAAACTATGTTTATAATCACTCAGAAAATATTGGAAGTCTTATGAGATTCCAATTAAAAGCCAAATAGTGAAATTTAGCGAAAATATGAAATTTTAAATAAGTAAAATTTTATTACTTGATGTTGTAGAGAATCTCGTTAGAAATTTGTAGGCGAAAACATCATCAAAATCCGAGTTATAACGAAGAAGTTATGACCAACCGAAGATCCGCGACAAAATCGACACGACACCGAATGACGTAAAAAGTGAGTTTTTCATAAACTACATTTTAGCCTTAGTAATCTAAATGAAAATAGTAGTATTCGTTAAACCAAGAAATTCGATAAAAAGAACGCCAAAATCTGACTTCGTATGAGAAAGTTATGATTTTTCGAAGTTTCAACTTAGCAGTAGACAACTAAAAACTCGAATTTTAGATGGAGCGATATTTTACCGATACATCCTAAACGAGAATCGAAGGTCTCCTCATATGTAGTACAATGGTAAAAAGTTTGACGAAAACGGATGTAGGATAAAGAAGTTTTGAATTTTTAACGGATTTTCCTGTCCCGGTCTATTAAAAATAATAATATTAAAATTAAAGTCAAAATTAGCCGACGAAGTCTAAAAGAAAGTTGTAGAGCGTAATTTTAGCTACGCGTGCATATAAAGAACGTCAAAAACGGAGCTCGTATTCGAAAGTTATGGGTTTTAGAAGTTCAGGGCCCGAAAATCGAAGAATTTCGCATGAATAGTAACCGGCCACGTCACCTCGCAGGGAGCAGGTGCGTCACTGAAGATGTGGCCCAGAGCGAGCTGCCTCGCTGCTTGCTTCCGGAGACCAATGCGTGCCCCTCACCGATTCGACCGAAGTGCGACCCAATCATCTTCCGACGCGCCTCGTTGCGGTGTCCGAGTCTCGCCCCTCCACGTCGTGCTTACCCGCCTCGCAGTCGAACCTCGCATCCGAGCCTCCCCTCTCGCACCACCTGCTTTGCTCCACTGCTGCCACCGAGCTTCGCTACTTAGCCGACTCCTAACCTCGGCCGTATATAAAGGGGGTTGCGAGATCTTCCCACTAACTTTGAAAATTTGCCACTTTTAGCCCCTCTTTTAATATTTTCTTCATATTAACTTTCCCAGAAGCCCCGAAATCAATTTTAGCACCCGAAACACGTACCGAGACCCCCGAGACGCCCAAAAATTTTATCTTTTCGGTTTTGAAGCCCTACCTTCGCAGAGCCCGGTTATCAATCAAGTTCCCGGTTTTCAACATAGAAAGGCATATTTAAAGCCGCAGTACTGTCCAAATTACTATTTTAACCCCCGGTTAACTTAAGGTGAGTTCAATATATAGGAACAATTGTATGTTATGTGTTATATGTGCTATGGGCTTTTCAGTATTATCATTCTGAGTTATTTTCTCGTGTTATTCGGTATGTTTATAGCAATTGTAATACCTTTGACCATGTGATCAGTAAAAGGACTTAGATTCACGTTGGTACTGGTACGCAGCCTCTGACCATATAGAGCATGTCTCCATAATAGAGTGACTTCTATTCTATGGCATTGGCAAATGGTTAGACAGGACTATAAGTTGGAAATCTAACAAGATGTTAATCAGAAATTGCATGTCATCTATGCCATTTGGGCGAAACCTTTATTGATGTATATCAAGAATTGAAAGGAATATCTTTGAATAATGTCTTTGATTGATATGAACGCTTGTCACATGATCTCACATACATCTTGTTGTTCCTCTTTGCTTTTGCCACATAGAAGTATATATATATATGGCATAACATTATATTTTTGAACTCACTAAGCATCACCGCTTACCCTATCAATGTTTAACACTTGTAGGTGATAAGTAACTAGTATGTTTACATACTATTGAAAGATGTAGAATAGTTTGTAATAGTATTTTTGTACTATATTTTATGTTTGTATAAATTACAATATCCTGGGTAGTTGTGTGTATCCAGTAGTTTTGTAAATCCTTTATATCAATGTAAAATATTGCTTTTATGAATATGCAAATAACATGTTTTGGAGTAATGATAAGTGAAATATGAAAGTTTGGGTATTTCAAAAATACGAAAGTTGGGGTCTTTCAAAAACTATTTTTATTTATTTTAAAACATTTGGGATGTCATCGTCAATACAGAAACATAACTATAAACAGAACTTACATTTATTATCACTAATGATTTATATCTCCTTAATCTCTCAGCGTAATGTTGTTGGATAAGGTGTCTAAGTCCATAACTATTTCTGGTATGTACTTGACCCGACCCAGCATGGTCTATTTGGGTTGTATGGCACCATGCAATTTGATAGACTAAATGAGAGAATTCACACTTGTGGTTTATTAATAAATTATTATAAGTTTTAGTATATTAAAATTATTATTTAATTAGTTTGATCAAGAATTAATTTAGAATTAATTAAGTGATCAGAAGATAACTAATTAAATATATGGATTGATTGTGTAAATCATCCATAACATGTACAGTGGGCTAAGAGGCTCCATGGATGATCAAGTTAGGTTAAACCCATAGGATGCTCCATTGATGCTCCATGGGAGTTACAAACCCATGGGTTGTGGAAATGAAGAGTCACGACACATTAGGGTTTACATGGTGTAACCTTAGATGTGTCACACTATATAAGGAACATAGTATCAACCAATATCGGCTACACAAAAGAGAAGTGAGGGCTAGGCAAATATTTAGAGTGTGTGTATTCTCTCAAAAGTCATTCCAAAAGCATTTGGTGTTGTGTGAAGCATTTGAGGCATCACACTTGGCGTGCTAGGCTCCTATGGTTTCAAGGAATCAAAATCAACTACAAGGTATGTAATTCTATCCATTCTTTTTAGATACAAGTTCCCCATGTATGCTAGATAGGATTATGAACCTTAGAAACAAAATTTTGGATGTATTTAGACAAACATAGATCAAAGGTTGATTAGGGTTGCATGTACACTTAGGAAGTGTTAGAATGCTAAAAACCCATTAGTGGTATCAGAGCCTAGGCTTGTTTGTGAATACATGATGCAAAATAGTGTTAAAAATCGATTTTTTTGTTATCTGCTTAGGGGACTCGATGAGTACATGGGGAGGACTCGACGAGTCCAAGTGTAAATGCAACCAACTGGGCAAGTCTGTTAGTGCACTCGACGAGTTGGTCATGCAGAACGCAAAAATTCGATTTGTGCTACAGGAAATGGACTAGAAACATTACCCTAAACTGTTTTGGTATTATAAAAATTGTTTTAGATGGTGTAATGGTTGTTCTAATCCATTTACAATGGCTAATATCAATTTTTCATTATTATATGTGTTCATATGTTCTTGAAATGTTGATATTAATATTCATGTTCTTATGAGTTCTTGATAGATCATAGTTGTTACTTGTTTATATGATTAATTTATGATCTTTACAATACTAGAAAAACAGCCTTTTACGACGCTCATTACGCGTCGTAAAAGGCTCAGACGACGCGCAAATGCGCGTCAAGGAAGGCCATGTCATAAAGAGAGACGACGCGCTTTTGCGCATCGTCTATAGAAGACGCGCATTTACGACGCTCATTTACGACGCACAATTACGACGCGCGTTTAAGACACGCAATGCGTATCAAGGAAGGCCCTGTCATAAAGGAAGACGACACGCATTCGCGTGTCGTAACCTTACGACACGCGTGTTAATGACATGCAATGCGTATCATAAAAGGCCCTGTCAAGAAAGGACATGTAATAAATGAAGACGACACACATTTTTGCATATCGTAATTTTAATTTTTTTTTAAAAAAAAAATATTTATAGATTTACTGATTTTCAAATTAAATTTGCATTTCATGTCTCACAATTCAAAAAATACAATATATTGCACAAAATTTAATGTCATACAAATAATCATTCTAATAATAGACAAATGTAACATTTGAACATTTTTTTATATAATTAACTAAATTATTCGCCAAATTTCCTAAACTACCAACATACTTTTCTATGAAGAGCATTAACACTATTCTTTTCCATCAAAAACTTCAAACCTGCATAATTAAATTAATGTTTAATCAACTACAGGTCAATAAGGTAGATTTAAACAAAAGATTTTCATAATAGTAAGATTTTACTTACCACTGTTGTTAATGACATTGAAAGAAGCAGCCCAACAAACACCCCCTCAGAAGGATTACTACCACATAACTGTTGATATTTGATACTTTATTACTAAATGAAACAAAAAACAACGTTAAAAAGTAAACAAAATCAGAAGGTTCTAGTCAAACTTATAGAGGCTGTATTTCCAAATATTACTAAATGACATTGATTGAACCACCTGCAAATTTACCATTTTGTCCCTATGAGATTCACTACTAAACACATTCTATAGTTTGTAAACTATAATATATATATATATATATATATATATATATATATATATATATATGTATGTATGTATGTATATAATCATTGTGAAAAGCAAGAAATTAGAAGTGGAATGTGATTGCATACCATCAAAACCAACATTTTTACAACTCACTTTTTATATATAATGACAATCAAACTATATCAAACAGAAACAAATTAACCACCGCACATGTTAAATGAAAAAAGTAAAACATATGACAGTAAACAATTAAAAAAAATAGGAAAAACCTACCCGAGATTGAGAAAGAAAGGTTTGGTTCTGCTTCTTAGGTATTATTATAATGGATGAGTGGAGAGACATATATGATTCTGGTTATCCAAACATAATGGGCTCAATTTTTGGGTTGGACAAAAGAAAAGATTGCAAACTTTTTTGTCTGGTCTCAATGGATGTCAAAGTAGTACAAGTAAGCTAACTTCTGTTAATTATTATTTATTAGGTGAGGTTTAGTCTTGGACCATCTATCACCTATTATGTAGTATCAAACACATCATGAAATGAGAGAAGACTAACCTGAACAAAATCAAGATGATTAGATGTACTTTCCATTTCTGAACCCAAATCCTCTATAATTTTCTCCTGAAATGGGAAATAAACAACTAAGCTTATTTTTGGTGATCAAATAAAATATCTATCTATCTATGTCAATTGTGAAGTGTGAAGAAGAAGAAGATCATGATGTCGATGCATAAAGAAGATGTGCACCTTTGAAAGGAGTTCGTCATGTATGGCGAGCCCAACAGATCCGATCCTTTCTACACTTGCACTTAGTTCATATAACTCTTCATCTTATTGTCTGTTGTACCATACATACAAAAATTACATATTATCCACAAATACATATTTATATATTTCAATTTTTATTATCATTAACACAATCTACTTTGAGCATTTTGTTTTTCTTATTCATCTTTAGCATTGTACATTCAACTTCTTATTAGAACCTAAATGTTTTCCATTTGGATGACACTGTGGTAAAAAATTTTAAGTAAAAAATTATAACACAAAGGAACGAAAGTAGGATGCTATAATAAAAATACATCATCATATATGCTATATTTTTGGTTCAAAAAACAATTTAAGAGGTTATAAACATCTGGTAAAGGTATGCTAGATCAACCCTTGGACCTACTTTTTTAGGTATATCTATCAATAAAATATGAGTATAAAAAACAATTCATTTGGGGCTAGTAAACAAGACAAGACACTCTTTAAAATGATATATCTAAAGAAATTATAAAAGCAAAAGCATACCTGATGAGAAGCATCTATGTGTCTGATTTTGAAGTAATAAAATCATCATTATCTACAACAACATATGATCCGGTTCTGGTCCAGTCCTTATCCTGCTGCTGATGAGACTTTGGCATCCGCATTAATTCTTGGCGCATCCCACCAAAGTTTGAAGTGCTTCCGGCTACAATCACTACTTTCTTAATATTTCCCACCTGATTGGTTAGTGGTTACATACCACACATAGAAAATAAGACTCATATCTATATTAAACCAAAGTAATAAATTAAAAGATTTGTATTGTACCTGAATCGGAGCAGTAGTGGTACACTTCCTTCGCTTTTCAAGTTCCAATTGTTTTATACCATACAAAGAAGGATCTCTAGTAGCTACAAAAATAGTCTTTTCCAGCTCATCCACCTTCCCTATCACAAAAATTCATTTTCAAAACTCAAAACAGATTTCATCTTTCTTAATTTGTCTTGTATTTCAGATACATACCTGCCATTCAATGCTCTCGCAATTGGAAAGGAGTTCCTTTCTCAGCCAGGATTGTTCCCCGCTGATGCGTTCCCATTCATGAAAGCTGCCCTGGAGGCTATAATCACAAAATAAATGATTATAAGATGATAAAACACCAACATACTTTCCCTGTACCAGGAGGATCGTAGAGAAGAACACCAGAGGCGTTACGTAGCCCATATGAAAACAAATCTTTATGCAGAAAGGGGAGCTGTAAATGCATTACCAATATGTCACAACTTATGCCAAAGCTTACAACAACCAACTGGAATTCAAGATTCCATTCCTATGTAGTATGTACCTGAACTGTATCAAGAATAGATTTTTTCACATCTTCCAGCTCACCAACATCCTCCCACTTAACATTAGCGACCTACACACACACACAAATTAAACTTATTACCCTGTAGAATAGATGTAATGCCACCAACCATTTTTTATTTTACACACCTTGGGATTCCCCAAAGCCGATGCATTCCTTTTCTTTGACCGCTCCAAAGCTTTGACCATGAATTCTTTGCTGTCACCCAACTTCTCAAAGCTACTGCCATAATAGGAATCAAACTTGAACTAGCATCAGCAACTAAAGCCCTAATATCCCTTGGCATGAAACCAAAAGTCTGTCCAAACATATCTTTTACAACATCCTCTGTACAAGTCTGCAAGGAGCATACATGATTCATTAGATTTTAAGATAAATATATGTATACAGTAAAATATTCTTATTCTTATTCTTACTTACATCTGGAACTAATTCAGAGATAAGGTGAAGTGATTGGGATAGCATTTCCACTCTCTGGTCTTCAGTCAAACCTCCCATTTTCGTTTCATGGTTGAAACAACGCCTAATTGTAGGTGGCAACCCTTCAGAGTTATCAATAGCTGCAACTAGCAGCACAGGATGGGTATTAACCGTGTTCATATGCTACATAATGAGAGTAAAACAATGAGCAACCAATGGATAATTGACATGTTTTTATGGCAAAAATCATCATCTCAAAACATCAACCTCTGCTTCTTCTTCTTCATTTTCATAATCATCATCTTGTCTAAATGGCTCGGTGAATTCCATAATTACAGATGCAACTTCAGAATTCATACCAACTTGATCAGTTTGTGAACCATCATTAGAGCTCAAATTGCCGAAAGCATCAAAATTTCTGAAGAAGAAGCCCTAAGCAGCTGCATATCCATGAACCATAACAAGAGTTGGTGAATCCTCCTTGCTGTCGAAGGTGAAAATGTTGATAAATCTTGGTTCATTGCTGGAACAACGAAACCTGAGATGCATAGAGAGGAGATGCATAAAGTGTGTGAAACTGTTAACAAATTATCAGAATGGGATTGAGAAGCATAAAAGTACGGGGGGAGGATCTCGCACCTAAGAAATCAAACAAGAATGAGAATAAGGGAGAAGGAACGAAGAATACCTGAGATGCATAAAGAGTAAAAGTGGGGATCGTGGAATGAAGAGGAGATCGCCGTCTCCTCCATAGGGATGTGAACGAACCCTAACAAATCAACTCCGAAAATATAGGCATCTTTCACTTAGATCGATTGAAGATAGTTGAAGAGATAAGAGTATAACAATATCAAGAAATATTACCTAAAACTTTGAATCAACAATGCCATGAAATCGAACCGGAGGGTGAAGAAGGTGCGACTTCATCCAAATTCTCATCGTCTGAATCAATTAGGGATTTAAATCTGGGGTTTTTTTTCTATTGGGCGTTTTAGGGATGATGTGCTAGGGTTTTTCCAGGATGATGATTTAGGTAGGGTTCAAAATCGAATTGAAATATTGGGGCTTTATATGAATGAATGAAATATGAAACAGCGATTTGAATAAGAAGATGATTATGGTGAAAGAGAAGGGTGGAGAGAAAGGTAGGAGAAAAGTAGAAAGTGTGGATCGATTTCATGAGGGTTGACCCACTCATCATTGTTATCTTCCATCCCTAAAGTCACTGGCGTGGCGTCTTTTTTCTTTGGAGCCACCGTCGCTTCCATATTCTTTCCCTCAAGCCACAATCGCTGCGAAGATCAGTGAGATGAGACAACATTTGTTACAGCCATGGAAGATCTCTACGAAATCGCAGATTGGGTTTTAGGTTAGAGAGAGAGAGAGAGAGAGAGAGAAAGAGAGGGGAAGACGAAGACCCTAGGCTTCTTTCTTGCTAATTGGAATAGGAGGCGGGGTTTTAATTTTTGAGATTTCATTTCCCACTTGAAACGCGTGTTTCATTAAAAAAAATATAAAGCGACACACTTACATGACGCACATCTTATGAAAGGCATCCTCCGTATTTCTTTTTTTTTTTCTTTTCTAACACTAATTTTAGGGCGCGCACAAAAAGCGCATCCTCTATCCTTCAAATTTTAGAAGAGATGACATTATTTTTGGGGCACACACTTTTGCGTATCGTAAATCACCGCGTGTCATTGTTTGCGCGTCATTAAAGGGCTTTTTTCTAGTAGTGTTATGTGTTTTAATGGAGTCCATAACTTTTCCTCAAGTTATTGTTAACCAAAAGTCTCTTTGTGTTAAAAGCCATTAAAAGAACACATAAGTTATGTAATGAAGAGTCTTCATTTTAATGACACATAAGTTATGAATGTGAACGGTTTTGTAAAGATACAAAAATTACCCTCAAGTTTTGGAACATGTAAAGTCACTTAATAAACTTTAGTTCCAACCATTAGAATTTTAAAAGTTAAAATTCAACCCTTATAACTTTATATTATAAGTTAATAATATATATATATATATATATATATATATATATATATATATATATATATATATATATATATATATATATATATATATAAGATTAAGTCGTCTTACTGCTAGTATGCCTCATTCACGAAGCCGGTCTATAAGGGGGGTATAAGGTTATTGCCTATAAAATGGCAACTTAATGGGTGTCCACTCTCACCCACTGCTTCCTTGATCGGTGGAGGGTCGCTAGCCGAACGGGTAGGACAAGGACAAGGACTTATAAATTCCCAATCTTAGTTACTTTAGGAAAAATGTGAATAAGGTGCTAATCCATGAAATTACATTTTCCACTCTGTTTAAGTCGTCGGTGGAGTGTCTATGGTTTACCAGCACATCGATTAAGTGATAAATGTTAAGGTTACAAGGTGATTTGCATGGTTACTTCACACCTTGTTTTGTGATCCTCGGTATCCCAGTCAGAAAACTTGGAGGGGACACTCGAGATTGAAACATGCCATTGAAAAGTACAATGAATCTCAAAGAATCTAGGAATTTCTAATAACCAATTAAAAACCTAATAATTATATTTCATTTTTCATGATGGAAATTGGTGAATCCTCATTCACCTACCTTTCAAATATGTTATAGATTGGATTACGACATACCTCTTCTAAGTTATAATATATTGTGATTGGATCCTAGCCTTAATATTACATTTGGGTGTTTTATTTAGGAATCTCTTAATATCTAAACTAATATTGTTCTCTTCATTCAGATGTCTTCAAACAACGCTGCTTCTGGCTCTAATCCTAATGGCTCCTTTACCCTTATGAACTAGTGTGGGAAAGTCACATTTGATGGATCCAACTTCAATGAATGGATCAGAAACATTAGGATGATTACCCGTTACGAGGACAAAGAATATGTCCACGATAAGGATCTTATGGAGATTGATGAGACCACTGCAACTACCCAGGAGATCGCTAACTTCCAAGCACATGAAGGGGTTGCTACCAAAGTGGCATGCGTCAAGTTGGACACCATGACAACGGAACTACAAAAGTCCTATGAGGACTTCAACCCTTTTGAATTGCACCAAGATCTGATGGAAAGATACCATCCAAGTGCACGAAAAGAGAGGTACGAAATCATTTGCTCCATGATAACAACCATGATAAAGGATGGAGAGTCCGTCACGAGCCACATGCAGAAAATGCAAAGGTATGTGGATCGGTTGCTGAAGCTTAATGTGAACTTCCCTAAGGAGCTTGCAATAGATATCAATTTGTACTCCTTACCATCGTGCTTTGATCAATTCTGCTTGACATGTCACATGAATAAGGAAGAGGTCACACATAGAAAACTTCAGGGACTCCTTAAGATTGCAGAAATAGGTCCTAAGGGTAAGTCGGTTGTTAAAACTCCTACTCCAAACTCTGCCCCGGTTTTGGTAATCGAGAAAGGTCGAGGGAAGAAGAGGAAGATCTATTCGAAGGGTACCAAAGGCTAGGACCCTTGATGGCTCTTCTTCAAGTGGAACCAAGAAAGGTTTCGTCACTCCTTCTTCTGACCCAAAAGAGGCTAAATGATTCTATTGCCATGAAAAGTCACATTGGAAGTGGAACTGCCCAAAATACCAGCAAGATGTGAAGGATTGGAAAGTTAAACCCAACCATGCAGGTATTTACACTGTCTTATCTAATAACTCATCCCATTCTAACTCTTGGGTCCTTGATACCAGTTATGGTATTCATATCTATTCTGATTTGCAGGGACTTAGAAGAAGTGAGGATGTGGAGCATGGTAGAATAAACTTAATCATGGGGAATAGGAAAGCCTTACCTATCACCAAGATTGGAGTTTACACTTTATCGCTAAGTAGTGGGTTTAGTTTACATTTGAATAAATGTTGTTCTTCGCCAGAAATGGCAAGAAATATTATTTCCATTCATCCATTGTATAAACAAGGTTTTACGTTTTCATTTGATAATGAAGTTGGTTTGATTATTGCTTTCTTTAATAAAGTTCTTTATTTTAAAGCATTACCTTGTGATGGTGTGTATGAAACTTTATCTGTGGTTGATAAATTAGGAAATAATGTTTTGTGCATTGATTCTGTTAATGATAATAACTTGGATAAAGCGTCATTATGGCATTGTCATCTTGGACATATAATCAATAAACGCATAGGACAACTCCAAAAGGATGGATTCTTGGAGCCATTTGACCTAAGTTTGGATGATAGTTGTGAATCATGCTTACTTGGAAAAATGACAAAGTCACCCTTCATAGGTTCTTGTGAGACGGGTGAAGGTTTGTTGGATCTTGTACACACGAATGTGTGTGGACCCTTCAAACATGCCATGAGGGATGCTAATTGTTATTATTTGACTTTTACTGATGATTACAGTAGATATGGATATGTCTACTTAATCAAGCATAAGTCAGAGACTTTCGAAAGGTTTAAAGAGTTTAAACATGAAGTCGAGAATCAATTGGGTAGGAACTTTAAGATGCTTCGATCCGATCGAGGTGTTGAGTATCTTAGTTCAGAGTTCCTCGAATATCTTAGGGAATGTGGGATTGTCTCACAATTGACACCTCACAGGACACCGTAGTTGAATGGTGTGACTGAGAGGCGTAATCGAACCTTGTTGGACATGATTCATTCCATGATGAGTTGAGCTTAGCTACCAATCTCATTTTTGGGGTATACCTTAGAGACTGCCACCCGTATCCTTAATATTGTTCCTACAAAGAAAGTTGCCAAAACTCCTCATGAGATGTGGACTGGTAAAGTACCGAAACTAGACCACATCAAGATTTAGGGTTGTGAGGCTTTCGTGAGATGCGAGACTCATGATAAGCTCAAACCTAGAAGCGAGAGGTGTATTTTCATCTGCTACCCACAACAGTCCTTTGGTTACCTCTTCAACAAACCTAGTGAAAATGTGGTCTTTGTAGCAAGGAGGGTTGTCTTTCGAAAGAAAGAGTTCATAAGCCAAGGAAACAGTGGGAGGCAAGTTGACCTTGAAGAAATTTAAGAGTCAAATGGTGAAGGAACTTCAAACCCTAGCACTCAACTTGAGGAGGAAACTCCTGTTGAGCCAATTGACATGTCTGTACCTCTGAGGTGTTCCACGAGGGTTACGAATGCACCGGAGCATTACTATGGATTCCATAATACCGCGGAAGGTGATACACTTATCAGTGATGAGACACTGATAGGTCTGGATGAACCTAACAGGTACGCGAAAGCCATGGTAGGCCCTGAGTCAGCGAAATGGAAAGAGGCAATGGACAACTAGATACAGTCCATGTATTACAATCAAGTTTGGTACTTGTTTGAGAATGTGCCTGGGCGTAAGACTATATGGTGCAAATGGATTTTCAAGAAGAAGACCGACAGGGATGGTAATGTACACACTTATAAGGCACGACTAGCGGCAAAGGGTTTCTCACAAACTCTGGGAGTTGATTTTGATGAGACATTTTCTCTCCAGTGGCCATGATTAAGTCTATTAGGGTTCTGTTAGCCATAGCTGCATTTCATGACTATGAAATATGGGAAATGGATGTCAAAACTGCTTTCCTTAATGGAAAGTTGGCTGAGGATGTTTACATGAGTCAGCCAAAGGGTTTTGTCAACACAGAGTACCCTAATAAAGTGTGTAAGCTTGAGAAATCCATTTATGGATTAAAAGAAGCACCTCGCAGATGGAATCCTTGCTTTGATGAGAAAGTCAAAGAATTTCGCTTTTCTAGGAGTGAAGATGAATCCTGTGTATATGTCAAGGCTAGTGGGAGTATAGTTAGCTTTTTGGTATTATATGTAGATGACATACTACACATAGGAAATGACATCTCAACTTTGTAGGAAGTTAAGTCCTGGCTTGGGAAGTGTTTCTCTATGAAGGACCTAGGAGATGCTGCCTATATTCTAGGGATAAGGATCTGGAGAGACCGAAGTAAAAGACTAATTGGACTTAGTCATACTACATACATGGATAAGGTGCTGAATCGATTCAGCATGCAGGACTCCAAGAAAGGAGAGTTACCCATATAGAGTAACGCCAGATTGAGTAAGACACAAAGCCCTAGTACTGATGCTGAGATAGCAGAAATGAGTCGAATACCTCGTGCGTCGGCTGTAGGATCGATCATGTATGCTATGACATGTACTCGACCTAATGTAGCCTTTTCCTTGAGCATGGTTAGTAGGTATCAGGAGAACCCTGGCAAGGCACACTGGATTGCGACAAAGAATATCCTCAAGTACCTATGGAGG